CTGCTCTGCCGCAACTCGTGGGTCTTCCTCAGCTCTAGCCACAGGTGTTCAGTGTCYGCATCCTGCAGAGAGGATGCACCAAGCAAGCAATCTCCGAAATCCCGCCCGTTGCCATTTACTAATTCCATGCAAATAAATATTTATGATATGAATTTAAATGTCAGGGGTAGGCACAGTGTGAAATATCACTAAATGCCATAAACAGTTCAAGAGATGAAACTGGTTCTCTCTTAAAATGCTGTCTTCCCAAACTAGTTGTCAAGTCCCAAATGTTGAGCTTGGCTGGGTGTTAAAACTATCCCTATCATAGTCATTTGCAGGTGTCATGCCAGGGTTGGATGTTCCATTTTTCTCTTTTTGTTCGTTTGTTTGTTGGTTGTTGTTGTTGTTGGTATTTGTTGTTTTTAAGTTGTAGATGGACACAGTTCATTTATTTATTTATATGGTACTGAGAATCAAACCAGGGCCTCACACATGCTAGGTAAATGCTCCACCACTGAGCCACAACCTCAGCCCTGGTTGGTTGTTTTTAATAAATACCATTTCTGAGTGGTGAGTGCTCATTATCAGTCGAACTCATGGAAACAGTTGTGGATTCTTCCAGATTTCTGAACATAACCAAACAGTGAATGCTGGAGAGGCTGAGGGTAGATAGCTGGTGGAATAGGACCTCCACATTAGGTAACCATTAAGCAGGAGGGATAGCTGGACTTGGGAGGTTGAGGCAAGAGAATCATGAATTCAAAGCCAGCCTCAGAAAAGGTGAGGTGCTAAGCAATTCAGCGAGACCTCTCTAAATAAAATATAAAACAGGGCTGGAGATGTGACTCAGTGGTTAAGTGCCCTTGGGTTCAATTCCCAGTACCAAAAAAAAGGAGGGGTGATTCTTAATATCTTCACATATTCTTCAACAGCACACCTTCATTAAATTGATTTAACTTTAACTTAAGAGGAGAAATACCTATGCTGCTCTTGAGATAATGGGTTGTTTTATTCTAGTAAATTTTAGTGACCTTTTTAATTAATTAAAACTACCTAATGGAGAGGTTTTCTTATTCCTTTATCTAATAAGAATTTCTAGCCTCAATATTCCATTCCCTAAAATAAAATGCAAMTTTGCCCTGAAATGTAGTTTTAAAAACAAAAGTCTGTTTTCTTMGATTACTTCATAAATAACGAGTACCATATCAGCTCTCCTCTCTTCCTTCTCCACACCTCTCCCCCTTCACATTGTGGCGATTACAGGTGGATGCTCAATATCCCGAGCAGCACAAGATAAATAAGCTTCCAAGGTTTCCTAGCAACATATTGTTCTGGGAACCTGCTGTTTCCCTGAACAAAATGAAGCCAAACATCCTAGAATCTCAGCCAGATGGGAAAGGATTAGTTTATGGGGGATGTTTCGTGTATTTTTTTTAAAAAATTTCACTTGGAAATGAACCTTTTAACATAAGTAGCAAGCTTGACTTAAAAGAAAAACACTCTTTTACATGTAAAAAAAATCTTAGTGATAGAATTTTTTAAAAATATGGTTTTAGAAGAATTTTCTAGGAACAAGTTGCAATATGTAATTCAGTCATTGATGAACAGATCCATTTTAGAACAGTAGAAAATGCTTCCACCTGGGACTGAAATTCAGCCTTCACCCTGCGGTAGGGCATCCCAATTGCAAAGATGTTGAACACCTCCCATCTGGTGGGTTGGGGCTGCTGAGTAGACGCTTCAAGGCACCTTCAGCTGCCCCCACGGCCCTGCTTCTGGGGATACACTCAACACCTTGCCACTGCATAAAACCCTGGGACTTCTCCCCTTTCTTCCTGGGCTCCAGGGTTGTTTCATTTTCTACTTGATCTTCAGAGTCTGTGTCTGGTTCTTTGATTAGTTCATACAGAGAAAGGGAATTACAATCGAATTCCAGAAAAATCTAGAAAAATATGGTTGTTTTCCTAGCACGGGTCTGTGTGTTTCCCTTGTTTATCTAGCCATCTGTGAAGTCACACAGTTGGTAGGTGGTGCTTTCCTTCCTGCTGCTCTCTGGTTGGTCACAGTGCATTGTGGAAGGTCTCTGGAGATGGATTAGTGTTTCTCATGACCGCACTCAATGGTGGCCTTGTAATTCAGTTACACCCTCGAAAGTGTCCCCATTTGTTTGAAAGGGAGATATTTTTTCATCAGCCAGATGAATATTCTCACAACRTGGTTGTCTAGTGGTTTGGACTGAGTTTGTGAAACTTCCCAATTGTGCTCAGAAGCAGAAAATTCCAGAATTTCACAGTGCTCCTGGATAGAAATAACAAAGTAATTAGAATGAAGAGAATGATACCTGGAGTCTGCTTTTTTAAAAAAATATTTATTTTTTAATTTTAGGTGGACACAATATCGTTATTTTATTTTTATGTGGTGCTGAGAATCAAACCCAGTGCCTCACGCATGCTAGGCGAGCACGCTATCACTTGAGCCACATCCCCAGCCCTGTAGTCTGCTTTTTAATTTAACTCTCTGGTCAGATTCCAGAGTATTAAAACTGTCTTTAAAATTATAAAATAATTACGAATATGCCGGTTGCTTTCCATTCTCTTTGGCTGTCTCTCACACACATACATGTTTTCCAAACTTCATACTTTGAACCGAGCAAGAACCTGTCGAGGGCCCAGGATAGACCCATCCTGTGCTTAGTGTCGTGGTGGATACCGAGGGTACAGACCACATCCTTGCCTTCCTGCTCCTCAAGATGTTTGCAAAATGGCATGTTTATAATCTCAAAAACAAAACTGCTTTCCTTCATTTCAAGTCCCTTTCTCAGGCATCTAAACACTAAGGAAAGATTTTGATGTTTAAAGGAATTACATGGGGCAGTGTGGCTCAGCGGTAGAGCACTTGCCTTGCAAATTCGAGGCCCTGGGTTCAATCCTCAACACCACATAAAAATAAATAAATGAAATAAAGGCATTGTAWAAAAAAAAAAAAARAAGAARAAGAAGAAGAAGAAGAAAACATGGTATATATAGACAATGGAATATAAAAATAAAAAATAAAGGCATTGTGTCCTACTACAACTTATAAAAAATAAATAAATAAAGGAATTACATAATTTGGCCTTTTAAGGAAAGGCTGAAAGTAGACCTGATTTGTCATGTGGAGCAGAATAGGTTGTAATATGTTCATTTCAACTAAAGCTTTTTTTTTTTAATTCAAAATTTTCTATTATCCAAGCATTTCTTTAGATTTCTCATTTATGTTATTTAACTCTCCTGTCAAGCATTATGAGGTAGAAATTTATTTACCCATCATTTTATAGATGAACAACTGAGGCCGAGAAGTTAAATACCTCTTTGCAGAGAGATTACACAGTTTGTAAATAAGTAATGAGCATTGGGACCCAGGTTTGTCCAGTGCCAAATTCTATGATCTTTATGGTATGCTGTGTTTATTTATTTATTTTTAAAATCAAAGATTCTATGTGATTCCAGTCCTTTCAGAGTCAACTACTGTCTTTTGAGGATGACATTATTTTAGCAAGAAGTAGATGAGTTGTATATAGATGTTGAGATGATTTACTGTTGTTTCAGTACAGTGATACTGTATTTTTTCAAGTTTTATCGTCAAATTTTAGATCTTTGTTTTTGGTATATTAACCCATTTAAAGACATTTATTATTGCTCAACTTTTTACTTCTATTAAACAATTTTTATTTTCAATATGATAGAAGACTGAATTACACTTAAAGATAGTTAAAATTAATAGTACTRTTAAATACATAGGTAAGAAGAGTTGTGACAACAGTATTTAAAATAGGTGGACAGACCGTGGCTGTTTTTGTGAATGGAGCTTTGCTGGAACATAGCCACACTATGTGTCACCTGAGGCAGCTTTTTTTGTTGTGGTTTTATTAAGTTATATATGACAGTAGAATGCACTTTGACACGTCATATACAAATGGGAGTATAACTTCTCATTCTTCTGGTTGTACTTGATGTAGAATCATACCGGTCATGTCGTCATTTATGCACAATAGGATAATTATGTCTAATTCATTCTACTACCCTTCATACCCCTCCCCTCCCTTCACTCCCTTCTGCCTAACYCAAAGTAACTCTATTCTTTCATAGCTCCAGCATCCCCGCTTTATTTTGAATTAGCATCCACATATCAGAGAAAACATTTGGCCTGTGGTTTTTTGGGATTGGCTTATTTTGATTAGCATGATATTCTCTAGTTTCATCCATTTATTGGTAAATGCCATCATTTTATTCTTCTTTAAGGCTTAGTAATATTCCATTGTGTATATATCCCACATTTTCTTTATCCATTCATCTGTTGAAAGACACCTAGGTTGCTTCCATAGTTTAGCTATTGTGAGTTGTGCTGCTATATACTTGGATGTGGCTGCATCACTGTAGTATGCTGATTTTGAGTCCTGGGTATAAACTGAGGAGTGGGATAGCTGGGTCAAATGGTGGTTCCATTCCAACTTTTCTGAGGAATCTCCATACCACTTTTCATAATGGTTGCACTAATTTGCTGTCCCACTAGCAATGTATGAGTGTGCCTTTTTTCCCCCATCTTCATTCAATAGCAAGAGTTGAATGGCTGAGACCTTGATCTTATTGCCTGTACAGCCCAAAATACACTCTCTGGCCCTTTACAGGAGAAGTTTGCCAAGCCTTCCTGTAGAATCTAGGCTTTCCCCCAGCCTTTAGCTGGGAATGTTCCTTTAGAATGCCAGAAGCATTGGGAAGTTTTTTCCCAGCCAGGTGTGRTGGCACATGCCTGTAATCCTAGAGACTCTGGAGGCCGAGGCAAGAGGATGGCAARTTCAAGGACAGCCTTGGCAACTTAGTGAGACCCTGTCTCTAAATAAATAAATAAATAAATAGAAAGGACTGGGGATGTAGCTCAGTGGTAGAGCACCTCTGGGTTCAAACCCAGTATTGGGGGGGCGGTCGGCGGGGATCCTAAATGATTGTCTTGTCTAATGCAATTTTCTCCAAACTCTGCAGGTACCAACCAAAAAGCTGAAAAAATATGAAAAAGAATATCAGACAATGCGAGAGAGTCAGCTGCAGCAGGAAGACCCAATGGATAGATACAAGGTATGGGAGGTACTGTGCACCTGTCAGCAGCGTGCCTTTTTATCTGAAAGCAGCAGTTGTGGGGATTTCATTCATTTCCCTCTGGCCCACCCTGATCCACCGAGTCATGCTGACTGTCCAGGTGTGTCTTCGTTTCTGGAGACTCCCAAGTAGCCAACCATAATATTTCTTTTCTCTCAGTTTGTATATTTGTAGGTAACTCCAGCTGTTGCATTTATACTGGGAATCTTCATAAGAAGCTGAGAGAAAGGGAAAAAGAAAAAGAGAAAGTGGCTTTCTACTTTCAAAAATGAGAAAAAAAGGAAAATGGCAAAGTACTGTTTTAGCTGTGCATGATCACTTCCTCAGAGACTTTTAGAAGGTGAACYGTTGCAAGACTGGCACAAGGATGTTTCAAACTTATTTCTGCCTGTAGCAAATGTTAAAAAGACAGACTTACTTGGAAGGAAAAATAAAAAACCACAAAGGTACATCAAGCCCAGTAATGGAGTTTGTTGCAACGTTTACTTCTATAAACAAATTCATGGGTAATGGTGACATTTGACCCAGTATGCAGTCTTAGAATCAAAGTGATTTTATTTTAATCTCTTAATTGTGTTTTTTTTTTTAATTAGGCCATTTGTGATCACAATAGTAATTAGCAACACTGGTCCCTGAATAGTGTTGGGAAATACTGATTGCCAACTTAGCTTTTCCAAGTGAAACATGTTTGTCTTAATTCTTCAGACTCATGCAGATGCACAAGTCCCTCCCTCTCATTACCCCACTAATGCCAAAATGTCCTGCCAAGAGAAGTATTATGGTAGCCTTGTTAATGAAATCACCCAGAGTGGGATGGCTTCCACTGTGGTAACTAGAGTTGCCTTTATGTGGGCAGCACAGTCACACAGAGCATCTTCACTGTGTTGCTGAACTGAACCGTGTGGAATGTGTGCAGAGGAGCAGGGTGGAAGGAGTGTATGGATTTTGTAGTCAGAAGACCTGAATTGAAATTGTGGCTCTTGAGAGAAAGGACACAGGATTTGGAAACCTAATTGGAGATTTTAGAATCTGTTCAGCATCTTGGACTAGTTATTGAACCTTTTTCACATCTGTTAAATGTGTAGAGTGCACATAGTTTCTTGATGGATTTGTGCGAGGTTGAGGGATGTTGTGTGTTAAGTACTCGGCACAGGGTTAGTGTTCAGTAAACTTGGTTATTATTAGCTTATGAAGACTACTACTACAAGTTATCCAAGAATTACTGAAATAACATAACCTCACATTGGTCTGCCCCTCCAGTCCCTCATGGATCTTCCTCTGTTTCTCCCAGGTATTGCTACTGAATAACCTACCACCAGTCAGTATGCTTCTCCCCTTGCTTATAGAACTGGCTCAGGAACTGCGAATAAAATCCCACATAGAGCTACGACAGATAACTACCACCAGATAAGAGCTAAAGCTACTTCCATTGTTCCACAATAAGTCCAATTTTAATGTTGGTCCTGTAACACTCTACTGTAAAAAGTTTTGAAGGTAGTAATGGTAGATCCAGAATGAAACCCTACTACTGCTTATATAGTTTTAAYTTCCTTAATGCCACCATCATTATGAAAAAAAATCTGAAGAGTGCTTTAAAGTAAAAGAGGAAAATGAAAACCCAGCCTTGTACTTTTAAAAACAGGCTAGGACTGAACTGTTACCATGTTTTTCTTTCTTTTGTCAAAGCAGGTATGTATAAATAAATAGTAAAATGTGTGTTATTTTTAAAAAGTGCCTATAACATGTAGGATTATCGGTATATTTTTCATTGAAGGACTAAACTTTCATTGAAAAAATTAAACTATGGTTTTGTTTTGAATGCAAATATTTTAAATTCAAGTGTTGTAGTGTCTTATTTGCACATATCAGATAACCTCAGTAATTGTTCCTTTTGGATGATTGTAATAGCTTCTCACTATATTATCTARGGTAGCATCTCTCAGTGTTTTCAACGACATCCAGGCATTTGTCTGGTGATGGGCGCGGTAATTATAATTCCATTTTCAATATAGTTGACAACACATTTGACAAGATAGTTTCCAACCATCAACAGATTTGGTCCTTGAGATGATTAACATCTAGTTTAAGATGCTAATTGTAAGATAGGGGATGTAGCCTAGTAGAGGAGTGCTTACTTGCATGTAAAGTGTGTAAATCCCTGGGTTCAATCCAGAATATCAAAAATTAAAAAAAAAGAAACTAATCATAATTATTTTAATTAAAGTAGTGAAGTATTTTAGAAAATACCTTTATAATACTTAATCTTGTCAAGAATAAGATCTCTGTGCTGATAATGAACACTTTATAATTTTTAGATTTTGGACTAGGAACCCAGTTTAAGTAAGTGCTTTAAGAATAATGTGGGGGGTGTGCTGGGGTTGTGGCTCAGTGGTAGATTGCCTGCTGAGCATGTGTGAGGCACTGGGTTCAATTCTCAGCACCATATTAAATAAATAAATTAAGATATTTAAAAAAAATAATAACCAGGAAAGATCTTTTAAGGCATTGAGTGAGAATTTTGCATCAGTTCAGTATCCACTCCTCCCAAACTTTGGAACCCACACTGCTTAAAATGCCACATCTACCCCTAGTTTGCCATATGGCAACAGAGTTTGGAAGACAGTGGGAATTTTTACTTTTTATTTATTTATTTATTTTTTTTTAAAATTTATTTTCCTACTTCTTTCAATTTTTACTTTTTAAATGCCCGGAAATGTCGTACAACAGAGGTATTTCAGATGATGCTATTTCTCATGGTCTTGGTAGCATACATCAAAGTGCTCTTGTAACCGGGCATGGCAGTACACACCTGGAGTCCCAGCTACTTGGGAAGTTGAAGCATGAGGATCACCTGTGCTCACAAATTTAAGACCAGCCTGGACAACTTATCAAGACCCTGTGTTTAAAAAAAAAAAAAAAAAAAAAGTATGGCAGAAAAGGCAGAATTTGAATCAGAGATGGCCCTTAGAATTGCAGTCACACTTCTTGCTGTGTCCGTCTAAGCAAGTGCTTGTGCATATTTTTATGACATATGCAAATATTTACTTTTTCGAGTTACCTAGCCATTCTCATTTTTATCCAACACTTCAATCTCAGACAAAAAATACAATAAAATAATGTTAGTATAAATTTAAATTCTAAAACCATAATCATGATGAAAAATGTTCTGAGTTTAGGCAGTGATAATGGTCACACAATTTTGTGAATATCCTAAAGCCACTAAATTGTACATTTTAAGAGCATGGTTTTATGGTAGGTAAATTACAGCCCTCCACCAAAGGAAAAACAAACCCAAGCTAAATGTTCTAGTCTACCATCTTCCTTTTTATGGACCCCAAGTCACACCAGATGTACCTATGTAGAAGCCACACTGGGGGAGGGAGGCCTTCTTGTCAGAATCTGAGCTAATTAATGATCATCAACCCCATGTGTAGGGGAAAGACCAACACAAATGGGTGGTATATTCATTTTTAGTGATGCTTTTTAATTTCTAGATATAATATTMGCAGTGCCTGCACATACATATGCACAGAGTCATGTGAATAGGTGACACCCACACATCCTGCACTGCCTGTCTGGCATCAGTTTGTATGTGACCTCAGTGAACCCCACATCGCCTGCTTCAGGGTTCTCTTTCTGGTTCATTTCATGACAAGATTCAAAAGACAGAAAGGAATATAGAATATTTTAAATCGTTTTTAACATCCTTCTTAACTTGGGGCTGGCTCAATTTGTGGAATAGTCTTTATCTACTCCAGTATTTTGATTTGTGAATTTCTTGATTGATCTCTAATGAGGTGGAATGTGGGGTGTGGATATAGCTATAGAAATGCATCAAGTACATTTCCACTTTTGCACAACTCCCCAGAAAACATGTTTATGGATAGGTATAATTACTTTAGAACATTTTWAAAATTAGTAACCAAGCCCCTAGCAAACACCCATTTCAGAATCAAAATACTGTTTCTATCTTAAGGTAGTGAAATGTTTTTGTTTTGTTTTGGGGGGTGCCCCTCCCAGCCACAGGGGTGGAGTACCAGGGATTAAACTCAGGGCAACTCACCCGCTGAGCCACATCCCCAGCTCTATTTTGTATTTTAGTTAGAGACAGGGTCTCACTTTTGCTGAGGCTGGCTTTGAACTCTAGATTCTTCTCTCCTTCCTCAGCCTCCTGAGCTGCTGGGATTACAGGCATKCGCCACTATGCCCAGCAGTGAAATGAAATGTTATTGTGGGGAAAGGTGGTTTCTAGGGACATAAGACTTCGTGCATATGCTCTTCCTTTTAATTAGAGAACTACTCACAAATGGGGGCAAGCCTTGAAAATGCAGCTAAGTAATTTAATTAAGTTCAGTGAATCTCCCAAGAGCATAGTCAAGGTTACATTTTCTGGATGGGAAAATCCTACAGAGTCTGGAAAGCTCAACTCTCTTGAGTTTGAGATACAGATAGTATTTTCTTTTCTTCTCCTCCTTCCTTCTTTCCACAATACAAAGGACTGAACTAGGGGCACTTTACTAATTTTTGTAGAGCAATGTTACTATGTATAATTTTTAAAGCTTTTTAAATTATACATAGTAAAAAATCATACAAAATAGTGACATAAAACTTAATTATATTATTTGCCATTTTCATATATTTATTAAAATGATTTAGAGCAATTATCACATTTTAAAAACTTGAACAAATGAACATGTTTAAATTGTAGTAAATTTCTTACCTATAAACTCTTTTGTTTATAGGTACTTTCCTCCCTCTGTGTTGGGTCTTTCCTTACTCATGGAAGTCAAGATAAGYGAATCCATGTTGAAAAATGTTGTTCTGCCAGTGAAAGCTTACATTTTATCATTTTCTCATGAAAGGACACTGTTACTGGCTTTCAGAAATATTTAGTTTAGGACATATGTGTTTTAATGAATAGTAATGGACACAAGTTGCTTGTGATAACTAATGGTCTATTTGGGAAGGCTGCCACTTTCTTTTTGACCTGCATAACATTGAGCTTATTGTTGTAGGACCTTGGAGACCACAGCTAGAGCCCTGGGGGCTTCTCAAGCACAGTAGCTAGCAAGGAACTGAGGCTTCTGTGCTCTGGTGTTCTGACTGGCTTGGTCCAGCCCTGAGGGAGGTGTAAGTGCCAAGCACCTGAATTTCCGAGTGTGTTTCTTGATGATCTTCAGAATCCTCCAGATATTCTCTTTAATTTTTAGAAAGTTTTGTTTCCTGTTAACCTGAGAAAATATGACACTAATATGTTTCTACATCTTCTGTAACCTATTTTTTTTAATTTTTTAATTGGTTGTTCAAAACATTACAAAGCTCATGATATATCATCTTTCATACATTTGACTCAATTGGGTTATGAACTCCCATTTTTACCCCAAATA